TTTAAGAACAAGTACTACAAAGTACCTGTTCCTACAGAGACCAGAAAACATTACAGGACACTCCAACACTTCAGGCAATATTTTGTTCCTAATAACAAGGTGTTATAGCATTTGCTGTCGCTCTTGTTCCATCTTCACTGAGTTCTGCTATTGCTTTTAAATATTCATATTCTGCTTATAACTGTACATTTATAGAGTTGGAATCACAGCACATCTAGGAGTTAGGATAAATGAGATGTTTCAACTCAGTTGCCACTGTATCACCTCACAGTTTTATAATTTGTTTTTGTAAGACCTCATGCTTTTCTCAGATTTCTTGGTTTTTTTGAGCTTTGATGTCAGATGTTGAATCTGTGTGTAACAGTGATTCCTTGCAAGTTGAAAAAAAATCTATTTTCAGTATGCGAAATTAAGAAAAAGATAGCATGTCATACTGTCAAAGCAGCTTTATTTACTGGGGATTAGTATGGTTGTATGGAAAAAAGTTATGGGCAGTATGTAGGGTAGAACTCTAAATATAGCTGTTGATTTGAGAATCCAGACATACTATAAATGAGTGTTATTCCCGTCTGCTATGTATGGAATAAGAAAGGAGCTGGTTAACTTACTGAACTATGAGGAGTGTACTGAATAGCAAGGAGGCACTGGGGTATTATAATTGGGAGTGAATTATGGCAACCGTCTTGGAGCAGAGTAATGGAGGAAGTATTGGTAAAACCGTGTAGTTACTCTTGCCACTACTGACTGGGATTAAAAGGAAGCACATCCCTTTGGGTAGGTTGTTTCCTGACAGCAGATGAAGGGCATTTGAATTCAATTGTTCTATAAGCATGATATATAAATGTAAATTTTCAATGCTTAACAAAATCACTGGCAAAATTTTGGACATCTGTCAAACGCTGGACTGGAAGTAGCAAAGTTTTAAAGAATAAGTGTGGCAGTGTTACTTCAATCAGAACACAAAATTATTAAATTAGTGAGTATGCTAGACATGATAATGCAATTTCTAACCCAGGAAAAGATACTGGAGAGGAGTGAGGCATCAACAGACAGATATTAAGCAACGATTATCCTTAATTTGGAAGAATCAACGAGAAAGTATTATAATTGAACCTTTTAGATGGTATCATGTTGGAAGAGGTCGACAGAAAACAGTGCAAGAGATCCTAAAAAAGTCTGATGTTACAGTGTGATCTACAGGAAAAGTCTACTCAGAACTCTACTAGGGCCTTTGAAATTGATGTATCTTATCAAATTATGTATCTAAACTATTTAAATCTGGAATAAGAGGGCAATCACTGGATTTTTCAGAAGTTTGTAGGGGGTCCAAACACAGCACAGGGCAAAGAAATAAGTTTCATATATTCAGATATGAACAGAAACACATTTTTTTGTGATCCTTTGATGTTGTCACATAATTTTGAGAGTTTCAGTTAAAAGATTATTAGAAGTGGAAACATTTGAGGCAAGAAAGATTACAGTAAAAAAAAAAAAAAGACAAATTGCTTTAAAGTTTAAGTTTATTTTGAAACTGAGACTTAGGCATATGGGAAAATTCTGCCCTACTGTTTTCATTCAGTCAGTTACTCTGGAGGCCAGATGTGTACAGATCCACATAGTGTGCGGGAGAGAGGGACGGAGGGAGGGCGGGAGGGACAGGACAGTCTTCAGGGAAGACCTGACAGACAGGTCTAACTTTCCATCTTCTCTGACAAGAGGCAATAACAAGAAAAGACTTTTTAAAGACCTTGAGAATTGGAATGCATCTTTTTTACTGGGTCATGAGGAGTTATAGGCATTTAAGATGCAGTGTGAAAATCCAGGGAGTACTTAGGAGGATTCTTATTCTTCATGTTAACATTGCTCTTGCTGAAGCTTTGTAAGTAAAATTATGAGTCATATATTATAATATTCAGTTATTCTGAGTGGTTTAATATGTGTTCTCACAGACAGCAACAATGCATATAGATGTTGCTTTCCCTCAATTCAGTGAAAAATGAAAAAAACTGAGCAAGTATGCCAATTTGTGCAACTCAGTACTCCTCCAAAATTTCAGAATCTGTTTCTTGTATATTAAAAATGCTTTCAGGAAGTTACATTCGTTAATGTGTTGTACTGAAAACTGCCTTTCAGTTGCATGTTTTGTGTACAATATGACTAAGTTTAAATTACTGTAGTTCTGGAGGTATATTTACTTTGTTTATATATGCCATTATAGAGTTAGTTTTCCTGTGTCATCATTACTAGGTTTCATTGTTCAGTTTCATTTCAATTTTTTTTGCCCATCGGTAAGAAAATAACAGATTTAAGTAAATAGCGAGCATTGGTTCACCTGAAAACTATGCCTGTAGACTCATCCACTTGTGACAGTAAATAGGTGAGTAACCGGCTGAGCTTTGTTTTAGCATCATAGAATGGTTTGGGTTGGAAGTGACCTTGAAAGATCATGTAGTCCAACCTGCATGGATGGGAGAGTCTGAGACTGTCCTATGGAATTGGGTACCCTAATGCAAGTACTGAAAATCAGTGCTATCCAATATAGGTGTGGGACTAAATGTCATCCCACCAGAAGAAATAACACACTGATACCTCCTGCAGATAATTTCCAATAGCCAAACTTACCATTTTGGGATAAAAATAAATAAATAAATACAGCTTTCTACACAAAGAGATGTTATCTGAATGATCCTGGAACAGAGTAACAGTATGTATGTGATAAAGTCTCCTTCTGATAGGGTTTGATTCAGAGCTGTTACCTTTTTCACAGCTGTAACTGTAGTGCTCTCCCAGCTCCTGTTTAGTCCACAGTGTATCTAGATTACTTTCATGAAAATGTAGACACCTTTCCTTCATCTCCTGCTCCAGCCTGTTTCCTTCTGATTTAATTTTATTTTATTTTCTAAAATCTAGGGTAAATTTGAGTTGGTTAATTGTCAAAGTTACAGTTGAAAATAACAGGATCGTAACACATTCTGCACAGGGAAAGTCTGCTGCCCCTGCTGCCTGAAGACTTCAGGTGAAGTTCAGACTCTGGAAATCTTACTGTCAGTGCTGTGGGTTTGATGAGTAATGTGTCAGTCTCGTTTTATACTCTTAAATTGAGTACTAATCTTATATTCATTGGATGAGCTATATCTGAGGCTTTTGAGTTTTTTGAGTTGAGATATCCCCTTTTTCCTAAAGCAAACCCCCCAAAGTGCCTGTTTAGATCCAGCGTGCTTTCAGTGAACAAAATAGTGAAGGTTTCTGGGCCTTTTCTGAACTAGTATTATTGCTTTTAATTAACCATTTACTTTTTGCTTTGACTGTAGAAACCAAAGCCATGCAAAAAATAATTTGTTTTAATTATACCTGTACAGTAAATGATAGTCTGAGTGTTAATAGAGATCTCCCATTCTTTCTGCACTAATCTGAGGCAAGATGCAATTCTGGCTTAGTTTAGCATAAATTAAATGCATTGTATGACTACAGATCCTGGCTTTGTATAGCATAGATGCAAGCAGTCTAGGAATAGTGTGACAGTGACTAACAGCCTGCTGCTCAGTAGCCTCCTTTTACCATGAAGCACTGTTTGGTGTGTGTGATTGTATTGCCACTCAAGGTTAAAATTAAAGTCTTTGAAGTCTCTGCCTCTGACTTTGCTTTAGATGAGAAGTACATGTGTAGAGCCCATATTTTGGCAGTCACTGTGATAGGGATAGTAGACAGATGTTACAGTCATTACGCATGATGAAACACATTATAGCCTTTCTGGTATACTCTAACAGAGAAACAAGCCTTTCCCCTTTTTTTCTCTTTCTTCTTGTTTTTCTTTTTTTCTTTCTTCTACATCAATGTCTAATCCCCTTTGGAAAAAGCATTGCTTTCCATGCAGCCTGCTGAGCATCATTTTATAATGAGGTTTCATCACAGTGGGTATTACTATAATAGGCTATAAGACCTTTCCCCTGCTCCCCCTACAACCTTTAGAGTCACTGGCCTATATTTTCTGAAGTGTCTGGGGACTGTGAATAGCCTCAGTTTTGGGGTGTCCTGTCTGAAGCCCCTTGAGTAGATTTGATTTTTCAGAAGACCGATTCTTTTGGCTTATCTAATAAGGACTTTCCAGCTGAAGTAGCTAATAAGTAAAGAAGTTAAAAATCAATGTGTTTTTTCTCTCTCCCCCTCCCCTTTAACTTAGTTTTTATTTGCTCTGTTCTTATAAGAACGGTCCTTTATTGATGGGATCTATGCTCTCTGTTCCTTGAAGGCAAGATATTTTCTTGTCTGATTAGTAGGAAGTATCTTGGGTTGAGTAGTGGATTTGGGTGTAATAATTTGGGACTCAAATCCCAAAGACAGTATGTGTGTAAATTAGGTAAATCAATCTATGCCTGTCTGAGCATCCCATCTGTAAAACAGTGATAGTGCTGCTTAGCTACAGGAGGACGTTATGGGAGTAAATTAACTGAATATATGCTAAGCATACGAGCATCTGTGAACTATGGTCCTTCAAATACTAATAAGTTTTCTAGCATTTCTTTCCAAACATAAACACAAACTATGCTAAGGTCTAAGTCATTATGAGCGTCTGTGAACTATGGTCCTTCAAATACTAATAAGTTTTCTAGCATTTCTTTCCAAACATAAACACAAACTTTTCTCTCTATTTGGTTCGTTTTCCACCTGCATGTACAGCACAGTTATGGGTGAGAGTAGTCTGGGGTGGCTCATGGAGGAGATGAGAGAACTAGATTGGATGCTGCTTGATTTCATTTTATTCCCTAGAACTGTGAGACCTTGTTGCCAATAGCACATCCCCATGGCAGATTCTGGCACACACACGACCTTTTTCTATGCCTGGCTCTCTAGTTGTTTACTGAAGAGAGAAGTGTCAAGTATGCAGTCTTTGCTTTTGAATATTCAGGGTGAATTTTTAATAATGTTTAAGAAAAAGCTGCCTTGGTGACTTTTAAAAATGTGGTAGCACTTGTTAATCAATCTTTTAATTGATGTTCCAGGTGGGTAAACTGAGAGAGAAAATCCAAGAGGTTAAGCAAGAAAGGGAGCAGGAGCAGCACAAACACACTGCCTATGTTTCTGAACTGAAAGCCAAGCTCCATGAGGAGAAAATGAAGGAACTTCAGAGTGTCAGAGAGCTACTGATCCGGCAACACGAGCAGGAGGTAGCGAGGATGGTGAAAATTAAAGATGGAGAAATTCAGCGTTTGCAGTCAACAGTCAATGTCCTGCGGGATGGGGCGGCGGACAAAGTGAAGACGGCGCTGCTGAGTGAAGCGAAGGAGGAGGCTCGCAAGGCGTTCGATGGCGAACGGATGAAGTTGCAACAAGAGATCTTGGAGCTAAAATCTGGCAAAAAGCAGCTTGAAGAAGCTTTGAACAACATTATGCAGGCTGATAAAATGAAGGCTGCTGATCTGCGCACTGCTTATCAGTCCCATCAGGATGAGATTAATAGAATAAAGCGGGAATGTGAGAGAGAGATCCGCAGGCTGGTAAGTTTCTGAAGTGATGCATGCTGATTTCAATTTATAGCAGGTATTAGTGTATTGCTGTATGAGCCCACAAACACCAAAACAGTCTTTTGAGGCGACATTTTCATCAGTGCTGGTTGCTAAAATAAGCCACTGTTTCTACTGTTTTCTCCTCCTTACAACATAGATGAACCTTGGCTCCATGTTTAGCCCAATCCAATCCAAAACTTTATGTCCCACCAAACAGAATATGAGTGAACCAAGACTTGCCAGAATGAATTTTCTCAACAGGTCAAAGAAATAGACTTCCCCTTTCCCACTTGCTTTCCCATTGAACACAAATTCCTGTGTTCAGTGCCGCTATCCATGTTCCCAACAAAAATATTAAACAGCAAAAGTCGCAATACTGACCCCTGCAGAATGCCACTCATCACTGGTCTCCATGTCTTTGCTTCTTCTGCATCGTTATCCAGGTCATTTGATTTTAAGCGGTTGCCCTTTTTTTATTTTTTAAAAATTTCCATGTTTTTTGTATTGCAGTAGAAATGTTCGGGCCTAGGACAGCAGGCTTTTTTCATGCTTCATAACCCTACAACTTCAACGCAGATGACAGACTGTGCTGTTTGTATGAGCTTGAAAACCAGGCAATATTTCCCAGCAGCAGGTGCCCCAAAAATTTCAAATTATGCAGCTTTGTAAAAAGTAAAGAATCTATGATAGGCTGCTCGTAGTGCAGTTAGAGAATTCAGCATCAAGTGACACTTCTGTTTGGTATCACGATGTTTTCCATGTATATTTATATGTCTGATTGTTAATCGGCCTAAACTAGCAGTACAATAGTTATGCAAATAAAATCTAAAATTATAATAAGCATAATATTTCTCATATATCAAGAAGTACAGACTTTAAATGGAATGAAACATCAGTTCTCTTAAGAAAAATATTTTGTCAGTTTGTGTTTACACAGGTATGTCTTCTCATTTCTTGTATTCCTTAGGAACAATGATGGTGAGGGCAAACTACAAATGTGTAATATCTGTTTAATGGTGGTGATTTTCTGTCTGAGACAGTGGAGGCTTTTAATGCAGTTAATATTTATGCTTTAAATAAATTGGAGGTTGATCAAGTCTCAGGGGTATCATTTCTTTGGCTAAAGACCAGTGCAAAGACTGACAATGTGAGGTTTCTGTAATCATAGTTTCTTTCCTATTTTGTTTCCTATTATAAATGTAAAATTTTAAAATCCTAACTATAAAGTACAGGTAATTTTAAAAATTGTTAAAAGAGGAGAGACAGTTGCTATGTTGTTGCCTGTGTTTTTCTAGAGAACAGTTTCTAATTAAATTTAACCTTCTCGAACCCAGAAAATGGTGAGGGGAGCACCCCCCCTCCGCCCCCCCAAATTCTGTCATCCCAGATTGCCCCATTAAACACATCTATGCCATGTCTTTGCGTGGTGTTGTAAAGGAACCACTTACCTCTTCTTTTTCAAGAGTGGAAGCTTTCAGCCTGCTGCGATACAAAGAATTCATTCAGAATTATAATTGGAGCCTTACTGGGCCTCCATTACTCTGTACATCTAAAAAGGGATTTGGAGAGCGTGCAGGTAAATCCTGTTACGCATTCCCAAGAAAATATCAGGAAAAATTATCAGGAGCCTTGTGGTGCCTTGAATCCTTTCAGATAATGAATTTTGATTTTTTTTTTCAGTAAATCGTGTGGGTTGCTTTTATGAAAGAGAAGTGTTCTGTCCAGGAGTTCATACCAATTTAGGCAGTTGTTGTTGCATAGGGCACTCCTTAAATCTGGGCAAGGTAAAAAATGCCACAGAGTTCCTGGACGCTGCTCTCTTCCTTGGGGAGTGAATCAGAATCAGATCATCACTATATTTCCCTCTCCTTCCCCTCCCCCATTTTAATTAGTGCAAGGGATGCGTGCAAGGGATGCTTGCCTTCAATTTCAGATTAACCTTATCAGCTGCGGATTTGGAGTACTCGGGTGGTTTAGTTCCCACTCTTGTGGGATAAAATGACAAGAATGTGGCAGGCAGTGTTATTAATATTAGCACATTTCTGTAACTGAGCTTCAATCAGTGTGCTTTTTTGTAGGTGTGTTGTGTTTTATGGCAGTATTAAGAAATCAGCATTTTGGTATTAACAGCCTAAATGGGCTGGCTATACTGGAATTCAAATTCAGATAGAGTAATTCAAGATTCAGTGTCTGATTGTCTTGTCAGGCTTGGCTGATTTATTTTGAGTTTTGGATCGCAGGTTATTTTTGCAGATGTATTTCATACAGATATCGCAGCTAAAAGAAAAATAAATCAGTATTTTTCCATTGATTTTAATACCCATGACTACTTGCATTTTTTGGCTTCCTGTCAAAAAAGAAAGCAGTGAGAAGGGAAAAGCACAGAATCCATTGTCTATTAATATACAGATACAATTATACTGTGTGCATAAACAGCCATGCTTGTATTGTACAAATGTCAGTATTTTAGAAATATGATTAGTCGATTTTGAGATTGTTTTCAGAGTTTTGAATTGAGCCATGATAGGTACCCAATAAGCCTCAATACAAGCAAGATCGAATGGGGAAGATCCTAGTGCCTAATAAGGGGAAGTAAAATAGCTACTTGGCAAAAAATATAACAGGCTTTTTCTCTGTGCAGTATGAAATTATATTGGAATTTGTCAGTTTCTATAATTGACTTAATGTAACAGTGATATAAATGTTTTCATAATTTAAGGAATGCTTGTTGACATGGAATTTTTTTATTTATTTTTCCCTCAAAAAAGAAGACATATTCTTGCTGTATATATGCATTGGCACAATATGCTGGCAGACAAGAAATTGGAAGTAAAAATAGCTAGTAACAAACTGGAGAGACAAATGAAACACATGTCTTAAAAGTAAAGAGACAACTTGGAGAATAAGATAAGAAAGCAGGAACAGCCATTACTTAATTTTTTCAGACAATATTTTCTGAGTAGTTGAGTCTAAACAGTTGCATTATTCTGTCAATGTAGTATGAAAACTACGCTGATACATATTCAGATGCTTAAAAACAGAAATAACATTAAAAACCAGCAAATAGGAAAAAAAGAAAAAACAAATTCAGAAATCGCAAACTAGAAAATATACTTTGTGAAGGAAAAATGTTAAAGCCTGTTTTTATTGATCAGGTTTTGTTTTGTTTTTTTTTTTTAATATAAAATCATAATTGTACTTTTTCATTCATGGAGCTTCAGCATAAACAGCCCTGAAGCATACATTCAGAGGAGGGCTGCATAGACAAGCATGTACATACCTAAATAACTCTGTATCAACAGACTTCTGTTTTAATGGCGTCCTTATGAGCAGTATATCTGGTTTCCTTCTGAGGTTGATGTGGTACAAGGTAAATTTAGTACAGCCCTGGCTAATGGCGAAGAGAAGTTGAGTTTATTGTTATCTTTATGAAGGAGCTTGAAGAGCAGAACTGTACTACAAGGACATTTAATGTTTTAATTTAAATATAAAAAGTACACAAAATAACAGTATATTTCAGCCAATTTTTCTTGGACCGCAATTAAGCTTGTCATTTAACTGATTTATTTGGTTTTAAAATCAAATTTAAAGTTAGGTTTCAGTGGTAAGTAAAGTTTCTCTTTTTTTTTCCCCCTCAAATTGCTGAGATAGCATGTTCAAATTGTTGATGAATTTTGGCAACAGACCAACCTTCTCTGTTATCAGCATAGCTATGAAGGAGGGCATGAATATTAAGTATATCCTATTACAGGTTGCATTCATCCTGGCCCTACCTGCTCGCTGTTTTTAAAAAGGCCCTTATTTTGCAAAGCACACTTCTCCGGGTACTCTTTTTGCAGAGACAATGGACACTTTACAGTGCTTGCCTTGAAAAATATATTCAAAAAAAGTAATCAATAAAAGTATATTGAATTATATCATCCCTGGTTTATTCATTTATAGTATTTCTTGAATAAGATGGGAAACTGAGATTTATTTGGTCAGACACTGTTAATATAACATAATATTTAAACTTTGTAATAAACAGATGATGCTTGTGGCCTGTATTTTGTGGTTTAGAGTTTCAGTAAATATTGTTTCCTCTGTTGGAAATGTTTTTAACATCAAACCTTTCACCTGTTTTACAGACAAATACAATTCAACCTTGTTAAAATCTTTAAACCTATAGCCTTCCTAAATATTCCTAAACAGCTTGGAATGAAATTAATTGAAAGACTTATTTCACTCTAATGTGGTTAAGAAAACTTGGACTATTTTACAAAATCAATATTAAAGATTCCACTGATCTTATTAGATGCACAATCAGATCCATGATTAAGAGAGTACCAGTATACCAGATAAATTAAATTTGATTATTTCAGTTGCATTCTCAAATAACCTCATAAAATTGTCTAAAGAGTAATGTGACATTACTTTAGATTCATAATTGCAAGGGAAAAATTCCTTTTGTTGTTAATAGAATCAAAGTAAAACAAACTGTTATGAGGAGTGATTTTTCAGAAGTTCCTAGCAGCTATGATTTATGAGGTAGATGCACTCTTTAAGTGTCTTTATTCTCCTTAGTCCAAATTACAGAATCATAGAATGGTTTGGGTTGGAAGGGACCTTAAGGA